CCACACACACACGCACTCACACACCCCACGGCCCATCTACCTCCTGAAAAAAAATATATTGAAGAGGGGGAAAAAAAACCCAAAAACGCACATTTCCTTCAACTGCCGAGTATAATTATCTTTTACAAATAGACCTCGTACAGAATTATTGGGGGAAAAAAACCCCAACACGTTTCACGTCGTTTCTCCGTTTCAATATTATGTTGAATGTGGTTTGGGGATTTTATTTGTTTTGTTGTTCTGGTACAGCTGAACTGGGAGAACCCAAATGACTTAGGACACACAAAAAGCCGCGATGAAATCTTCTCCGTCATCACCTACGTCATCACGTATGATGCCACCGCCACCACCACCACCACCACCTCCACCCCCAGGCCTTATGACGTCATCACAGGAGACGCAAGAAACGCCAACGGCGCGATGTCTACCGGAACCGGAAGTGACATTGGCGGAAGTAGAAATTTGCCGGCGGAAGTTTGACCCCTTACCCAATGTTGACCTCCGATGGACGGGTGGTAGGTCAAACACTCAATGCCCACTTTCCTCGCAGAGTAGGACCTACCAGAAACACCTTTCCCAACATGCGGGCAGGTGTGTTACTGTCTTTTGCAAGAGATTTGAACTAATTTGGGCCAAGAATGTTGTTTCAAAAACACCTAACTCTGATTTGAGGAGGAGAAGAAGAAGAAGTAGAAGCCCTGTTCAAAATGTTAACAGTGACAACAACAACAACAGTAACAACAAATACAATAACACTAACAACAGTAAAAACAACAACAACAACAACTGCAACAATAGCAACAGCAGTAACAACAATACCAACAACAAAAGCAGCTGGAACAACACCACTACCAACAACAACAACCAAAGTAACCACAGCAACAGCAACACCACTACCAACAACAAATACAACACCAGTAGTAGTAGTGGCAATATCGGGCACTTTCTCCTTCTCCTCTGCCTTGTGACGTCACTAAGCTGCTGTTCTTCTCGACTACCTCTTGCTGCTGCAGCAGCCTCATCACCCTCCTCACCCCTACGTGACGTCAGCAGCAGCAGCAGTGATCAGCCGCAGTCGCAGCAGCAGCAGATCGCATGGCCGAAAGAGGTGAAGGTCGGAGTTGTACTTCCGCACGCCCAGTACGGCCTCAACTACAACTACGGGGAATCCTACATGGCGATTTTCATGGCGATGGGGAAAGTGGAAAACAACCCACACCTCTTGCCGGGCGTCAAACTAGAGCTCAAATCCTTCGACACGAAATGCTCGGACCAGCAAGGACCCCTAACGGCCGCACACATGTACTATGACAGACTGGCGCACATATTTATAGGTCCGTACTGTATGTTCGTGGTTGCGCCCGTGGCTAGGTACAGCTCCAAATGGGGGATCCCCATAGTGACGCCAGCCGCGCTGCTGGACGGATTCACCAACAAAATGCAGTTCAAGACCCTCACGCGCGTGCAGGGCAGCTACCAGAAGGCGAGGGAGTTCCTCGGAGCGATCATGACCAAGTTTGAGTTCCGCCACACGGGGCTGTTGTTCCATAAAGTAGAGAAACCGCCCGACGTGGTGACACCTGGCGAGAACTATTGCTTCTTTGTCATGCGCAGTTTTTTCCAAATGATGACGGTGCGCGGGGTGATGCCCATGCACAAAAGCTTCAATCAGGAGCACGAGACGGACTACGGCGCGGTCCTCCAGGAGGTGGCTAAACAGTCCCGGAGTGAGTAGAAAACACAACTACCTCCTTCCCAAAAAAAAAAAAAATGGACTCAGGAGAAGAGAATTTGGCCAGGGGGAAGGAAGAAACCCTCCAGGTTATTTTGGTTTTGGTTGTTTTGGGGGTTGTTTGGTTTGGTTTTCGAAATAAAAAGAAAAAGAAAAACATTAGGGGAAAGCGAATGATTTGGGGGGAAAATTGAACGTGAGCTTTATAAAAACCACAAAACAACAACAACAACAACAACAAAAAACCGAAAAATAAAATTTTATAAAATAACCAACCAAAACAACAAGATCCCCAAACTTCAATCTCATTTAAAAAAAACAAAAAAGCAATCATGTTGGTATGATAAGTTGGGGGTGAAAAAGGTGAAGTGTTCACCACAAAAGGAACAAACAACAACAACAACAACAACAACAAATCACCACCCCCAACAACAACTACAACAAAAAAAACCCAAAAAACCCAACATTAACAACTACAAAAATCGGGATTCACGTGAACTGAACTGCAGTATTCTTTTATTCAAGAGTACTACACGCCATTCAGTTCTCTGATCTCATCAAAGGCGGTCTGAGGATCAGAAAACAACAAAAAACAACAATAAAAAAAAACAACAAAAAAAGAAAAGAAAGAAAGAAAGAAAGAAAGAAAGAAAAAAAGCAAGAAATGAAGAGGCTTTGCTTAAGGCGACCACGTCAAACTTTGGAGATCAAGGGAAATTTCTTTTAACTTCTTTTTAAAAAAAGATATTTTTTAAAAAGAATTTGCTAGCAAAGAGAAATGTTGCTTTAAAGAATATTAGAGACTTATTAAAAAATATCCCTCATAGCGTTATTCACAAAATACTTAAATTTCACAATCCGTTTTCTATTTGGGAATAGACATTGTTGGCATATAGACAGAATAACAAGAAAAAAGAAGTAGAAACTAAAATGATGGTGATGTTGAAGAAGAGAAGGTTAATTTTTTTTAATATTCATAATTTAAAATTAATAAATTAATGATAACAATAACACCAATAATAAGAATAAGAATAAGAATAAGAATATAATAAGAATAAGAATAATACTAATAATAATAACATTTTCAAAAATTAGTAATGATAATATTACTAATCTTAAATGAATAATTACTAAATGGATTAATTAATTATGATGATATCAATTCTAATTCTTACATCGGTGAAATCGATATCAGATATCCAGTTGAAACCCACAAAAAATTGCAAATACTGTATTACATAATTATTTGAACTGAATTGATTTGTATTCCGAATCAAACAGACGTGGAATTTTCATTTTGAAATACTTCTGCCCGCCAAACGCTTCATCAAAGAAGGTAAAAAAGGTGGGGTTGAGGTAGGAAAGGTAGTGTTGAGATTTATACAGAAGGACAGACAGACAGACAGACAGGAAGGATGTGGGTTGCAGATATATATATATATA